CGCAGACATCAGGTAGCAGCGAAGGACAAGCAAACCGGACCGCTACTTCGATTTCACCCATCTTTTTCAGTCCACTAGGTAACAGAACTAACAGAGGATACGAATTAGTGTACACTTTGTTGCTCTCTAACGTTGAGACTCGAATACGTATCTTCCCTATCCTAGTATCAGGTCTATCATCTGAAACGTCCGAGAACATTCTCCAGTTGTCAAATACACCAACGGTTAAGACAGTGCAAGGATCATAAACCTGCCACGTGTACTGCTCGTGCCATCTCGGGTCAAAACTATCTGTTATGGTTCTTGTCCGAACCCATTTCTTGCCGTACTTGGCAACACAGTAAGCATCAGTGGAGCCTTTACCACCGTTTTTAGCTTTCATCGGTAACAACCCACGAGCTCCAAGTATCCCCAACTCAAGTACACCGATCGGCGGCTTCCATAGCTGCTTAGCCGTGGGACGGAAGTCGCTACACACGTGCGCCGCCTCTTCAAGCACGTGATACCCACCTTCAAGACAAAGTCTTAAACTAATCCTTCCACAGTAAGGTCCACCACCACCACCTCCTCCTCCTCCACCTTCTCCTTCCAAAGCATGCCATTTAGGCGGCACGAACCGCTCATCAATCCTCTGCTCAATAGAGCTCACTGGGATCATTGCGTGCCCTAGAAGCATCGGCTCTTTACTCGTCCTATCTTCCACCATCAACATCAAGCAATCTTCCAACGGCTCTCCAGCAACAAAGATCATATCTTCATGCCAATGAAACGAGCCACTATGATTATTCATCGATCCTCGTCTCGTCCTGGCCGACTGAAACCCTAACTGAGCCTTCACCCTTACCTCAGGCGCCGTCAACGGCGGAAGGTTCGGAGCAATGTGGAGATCCTGCGCCTCCAGAACCGTCACTCTCAAGTACCAAAGCTTCGGCGACTGGTACACTTTCGAACGAGTGTGCGCCACGTGTGGAGCGTCGGAGCTCCACGCCTCCGGGAAAGCCTCGTCCACCTGAGTTCCGATCCAAACCGAGAGCTGGATATCGCCGGAGACTCTCCCGGAGTTCTGATCAGCAGCCGAGCCTTCGAGGCGGTACCACTGAGGAGCGAGCGGACTATCCGGCGGGTCACGAACCGGAACCTCGGAGAGATCGAAACAAACTCCGCCGAGGAAACTCTCCGAGGAAGCGTCCCAGGCCGAGATTTCAAGAGTCGCGCCTGACGCGGCGGAATCTGTTCGGTTATGACCGAGAGCAAAAACCTGATTCCATTCCGGAGAATCCGTTAATTCGCCAGGCCGGTTAACGGCCGGTTTAGACCTTACGAAATGGTTAGAAGTCCGTACTTTAACGTACGCGCTCTCGTTCGGAGGTAATCCACGCGCCTTCACGATCCTCACGAAGAGATACTGCATTGGCTCGACGAGGTTGTAAGGGTGATGAGCCTTCTTCTCCATCGTCGTCTCCGAGCCTCCTCCTCCGATTTTACTGTTGATAACCCTAGGCGAGTAATCTCCGTTGTTGTTGTTAGGTCGTTTCGCCGCCGCGGCGGGGGCGGCGACTCTGATTCTGTCTCCCCCCGGAGGTCTCCCTACCTGCATCTTCCTCACCTCCGGCGGATACCGATGTACCTCGTGCGGCGGAGACGGCGGTCGTGGAGGATGGTTGTTATCGCTAGGTACTTCTTGCGGCGGAGATTCCTCGACGATAACCACCGGTGGTGGTGGTTGTTGAGATTCTTGATAGCTGTGGTGATGACTCTGAGAAGGTAACGGTTTCTCCGGAGGTAGATTATGCATCTGTTGAGTCTGCGTCTGCGACTGCGGTGGAAGGAAATGTTCATCAGCTTCTTGCGGTTGGGTTTGCGGTTGTTGTTGTTGTGGCTGATAACTTTCAATGTTTTCGTCGGCGATTTCGTCGTAATAATAAATCTTGAGTCCAATCTCGCCGCGAATCCAGCTGAATACGCTCTTCTTCTCTAACGGGAAGTAGACGAGACCTTCGTCGCCGCGTCGTGAGAACTGGCTTCCGTAGATCTTAACCCTACCGAGGAAATGGTTTTTCCGCCCGCCGCCGTTGCCGAAACGCTTGTCGTTGTAGACCTCGATGTCGAGCTCGTCGTAGTCCATGTTCTGAGGGTCGTTGACGGAGAAATCGAGCATCTCGTTCCAGATAGGGTTTAGGTCGCGGAACTTGGTGGAGGTTCGTTTCTTCTGGGAGTCGAAATCGACTACGACGTAGGCGCTTGAGCTTCCTTGGCCGTCTTTAGGGAGGAGGTTGCGGGCTTCGACTACTTCGACGACGAGTCTGCGTTGCATTCTCGATGGTGGAGGATCTGATTGAAACGGCGTCGTGTTCATCGTGGAAAGAGAGTGAGAGAGAGAGATAGCGTTTCGAACGTTTGTCACAGAGACAGACGGTAATCGCGGAAGAGAGAGAAGAAAGTGTGTTTTTTCGAGGCTATACTTTATTTATTTGAATATGTTCTTCTTTCTTAATTAACGTCATTTGTTCTTGTAATGTTTTTCTTGCTTTTTTAGAAATAATTTTAATTTCTGTTGCCAAATCTTGAGATTAACTACCAAGCTTGATTCACATAACTCTAGTCTGTACAGTCGATAAATTATTATTAGTGTGGACAGTTTTGTTGTATTATATTTGAAATAGTTCTGACTAAACTTGTGAATTAAAACTTGATGTGTTTTACAAAGGTATAAAGAAATTACTTGTGTTTAAACGCCCAATTACCAATTTTAGTGAGTTTGACAAACTAAAATTTAGGTGAATCTGAAGAAAGTGTATGTAAAAGGTCCATTATTAATAGAAACTAATGTAAACATTTTATATAATAGTAATATTTAAATATAATTTAATTGTGTAATTCTACTTAACATTATTAAATTATTTAAATAATTTTTTTTAAATAGACGTTTAAGAGTTTTCAGGGTTTTTTTTTAAGTTTCATTTGAAGAAATGTTCTCATTTTATCTCTTTTAGTTTTTAAAGATAAAAAACTCATTAATTTATATATAGAAAAATTGGAATAAGTTAAGGAAAATATAGACTTGAATTGATTGGTTAAATTAGTTAGAATATTAGATACAAATAAACCTAATTATGGTGAAAGGCATAAAGGGGGAAAGAATATTTGCCGTTAGATAATGGGGAAATCTGATTCCATTCTCTATCGCCAAGCCTTCGTTTTATTCTCCCTTTTATACGTGTTCTCTGATTTTAGTATTGTACTCTCTCATTAGTTTATTTTATTTTGTTTCTTGTTATTTTATTAAAGTAGCCATTAAAATATTACACGAAAGATTAGGCAACCAAGGCTGTTGGATGGAATTTTTAGTTATTTTAAATACACAAGGTTCTTAATATACTGAAAAGAAAATTATCTCAAAGATTATTACGGTTTTCCCATTTAAAGATTTAATTTTCTGATTGTTCTTTAGCCTTTCTCAGAAACAAATAACATAATGAGTTTTTACAAAAAGAAAAGAGTTTGAATGTTAAAATATACGCCACTTACCGTTTTGGTATTGGAGTCGACTAACGAAATCCATACTATCATTTAAGGCCCAAACTTCCGCCCCGTTTTCTTTTATTTGGTAGAATCAATGTCATTGCTATAGATTGTCTTTTCATTTAAGTGAAGAAAAATGATTATGACTTGCGAGGATCATTAAATGTTATGGCACTTTCATATATGCAGTGGGTTCTTATTGTATGAAGGAAAACCAAGAAAATCTTGTTTTTATTGCATTATATGATATGAATACTACCATTTAATGTGAGAAATGAAGTGGGTAGGGACCATTATGATCCTTGATTTTGTATCCCACACGCTATACGATAAAGAATTTTGTTCCCTCGTGCTCTCGTCATTGCCACACACTTTTCTGTGTGTTTGTTACTAAGTATCCCGGTTTGGTTATAATCACAAACATAATCGGTGTGTTAAATGTATCGACCCGGTTTTGTTGTGGACACCACAAAAGCAACAGAAGTTAATACATTAGTCAAATAGGGCATGAAAAGAAATGAATGAATATTATACTTTCCAAATAGTATAGCACATGTTTCAAACATCGTTTTCATGAAAATGAAAAAGCATCACCGTTTTCATTAAAGTTTTTTTTTTCTTTCTTAGCTGCGAAAATGATTATCCGATTCTCGTAAATTCGACACTGTTTTAGCAACGGGCTAGTCTTAAAATCAATGTTTGTGACTCTAGTAAGGTAACTCCCTTGAAGAAAATTCTAGACCCTATGTATACAACAAATATATGATATTTTAGGTTTCTCATACATATTAAAAATAATAAATATATTCTTTAATTTACTACTTTTTGGTTTTATAAACAAAGTTACATCACTCATAATTTTATTTTTGAGTTTATGCTCTAGTTTTAGAGACAAGTGCATTGATTATATAATAAGACATCTTTGACCAAAAAAAAAATATATATAATAAGACATCTATCTTTTGTATATAAGATAAAAAATTAGAACATCATACATTTGTATACAGAGGGAGTAAATAGAGAGATCGAAATATTCAAACAATAGAGAAAGTTTATATTACAACTTATTGACATAATTTTTTTAGAATAAAGGATTCTATTTGATAACATAAAAATCTGATATTTATTATACGTTTTGTATATATAGTGGTCCTACTAAAATACAAATTAATTTAATCTATTTTATATATACATGCATTTCACTTGTTTTTAGAATACTTCTTAAAAGCAGTATTATTATTGTAAAAAAAAAAAGAGTTATCTATCTTTTATAAACTAAAATCCTATGAATTGATTACATCAACAGCTAAACTTCAAAAATATATCAGTACTAATAAAAATATAATCACCAATCATAACTTTAACTTTGGTTTAATTTTAAGTTTAGAGGCCTTTTGGGTATATGAAAGTAAAGTTCGATTTGGTTTTCACTTTTCATAGAAGCTATTATTAGCGGTTAGATAAATGAAAACATCTGCTTCTACTACAGAATCCCATTAACAGTAATAAAAGGCTTAGCCTATTAACATTCAGATTATGCGTGGCCTAGTTACAACCAAGAAAGCCTCGATCCATTAATAATCAGAACAAAAAAAACTATGAACTTCCATCAATTATTCTTTTTATTTACATCGTAGACAAAATACACACTGATTCTCTATTGTGACCCACCCCAATCCCCATGCCCATATAATACAAAAAAACAAATGTTGTTACTCTTCTTCAATTAATTGCCTGCAGAGTTGTTGTTGTTGTTGCTTCATACTCAATTGACTTGGTGAACTGCAAAAACAACCACACATATGAGTCAAACTAGAGTTTTGAAAACAAATGAAGCGCAATGTTAAGTTTACATTTTTGTAAACAACTCGCACCTGAGATATCTTTAGATCAAGCTCATTCCACTCTGAGGTTGGGTTGCTTCCTGCTACAATCCCTGTCCCCGCATAGATCAATGCCCCAAGACCCTGTAATCACTCAAAAGAAACGATTCAGTCTATAGTTTTATTAAACTTAGGAATTTTTTTCTTTACGAGCAAATAAGAGATCTTCACCTTCTCTACTAGAGCTGATCTGATCCCAACTGCAAACTCACTCTCAGCACCACCAAAGAAACCAATAGGTCCAGCGTACATTCCTCTATCAAATGATTCTGTGAGACGGAAAATGATTTAATAAGCAAACTTGGAAGAAACAAAACATAAAGATATCAGAAGCAAGAATTGAACAGGCAGATATTTTACCTATTTCCTTAATCAGAAGCCTGGCTTCTTCTGCTGGAAGCCCACAAACAGCTGGAGTTGGATGCAGAGCAGCCAATATGTCAAACTGTATAATAAAACATATGACAAAAGGGTCACGTCTCATGTGAGGAAAAGTAAAAGTCTGAAGATAACATTCACAACCCTCTTAACTTCAAGTGATTTAGATGATCATGTGATACAAAATTATTTGAATAATGTTCTCACCTCATCATCTTCTCTCCTAAGCCTCCCGGCTAGTTGAGAATACAGGTGCTGCACTCTTGCAAGCTTCCTCACAGTTTTTTGGGGCTTAACAACTACCTTGTCACATATAGACTGCACAGCAGAAGAAAGGATAATAAAAATAAATAAATGAAACGAGTACAAGAAGAGATTTAAAGATTGATATTGTAACAGATAAGAGTGAAAGCTGCAGAACAAGATGACTGAACTTACGTTTAACTTCTCTCTTATGTTCTCTCGTACGATAGAGAACTCAAGGTCGTCTTTGGGGCTGCAGCAGTTTAACAAATCGCGTCAGTATGCATATCCGGAAACTTCAAGGGATGAGATTAGAGAAATGGATTCTATGATGGTTTAAAACAGTGAAGTAATAATAGTGACCTGGTTAATAAGTCACGCTCTATCTCCATATCACGAGCCGTTGAAGCAGCTCGAGGCCTAGTTGCAGCCAAAGCTTCACTGCAGACACCTAACTGGTTCCTTTGGAAAAGTCTCTCAGGCTGTATCACAAAGATTCATGCCACACGGATATGTCAGGCTTGTTTCGTCCATATATGTGAAATCAACTAACATATACCAAATGACTACTTATAACATACCGTGTTTCCAATAAAAGCTGGTGCGCCTGGTGGTTGAAGACAGAACTGATACGCATCATGCCCTTCACTCTGTCACACAATAACTTTAGTTAGATTCAATTCTAAACATTGCTTTATATTCCAGAGACAAAACACACCTGTAACTGTGCAAGCCAAGCAATGGGATCAATATCGGTATCTGTTATAACTCTGCTGTTGCGAGCAAGCACGACCTGGTTTCACAAACAGAAAACAATCAGTCAAATTGGAACCATAACTATGTGAGACACAGACACTAACTCACTAAACTACCTTGCTAAGAGAAGAACTCTTCTGCTTTATAATCTCCAAAGCCTTCTCTACAGCAGGGTAATACGCCCCTTTTGTAGGAACATGATTCTTACTAAGAACAGATACTCCAAGAGACTCTCTCCGTAACCTCACCACAACAGAAGAAACCTAACACAAACAAAGCTCTCGTTAGCATTAAGAGCACCCCATTCAAAAAAAAAACTTAAAAGAAAAAGGAATGTTAAAAAACCTGAAGCATAGTCTCTTGAAGTGCTTCAATAGCATCCTCCAGCGTCCAGGACAATTCATCATCCCAAGCAATAGTTGCAGCCAACATTGAACTTCCACCAAACTCATTAAACTCAACCTGTGCATGCGTGTGAAGTAATCCAATTAGTCAAAACAAGTCACGTGCTCCATAACACTCTAATACTCAAACAAGTCACGTGCTTTATTCAAAAACTTTAATGTACCTGAGGTACAGCAAAGTAAAATGCACCAAAGGGTTCCCACTCCACAGAGATCTTGCCGTTAGGATCAAACCTCATGCCTCCATAGGCACGAATCAGAGGTGACGTGGACGAGAGAAACCTTTAAAAATTGTTTTAACCACTCAACAATCAGATATATATATATATAAGTACTGAGAAGCGACACGTGTCGAGAACTCGATGAATCTCATTACCTTCGAATTGATCTCCAGTCATCGTGAGAGAAGGGGTCAAGGTCACGGAAGAACACTGCTGAACCGATACCGGCGACGCTAACCAGATCACGATCTGACGAGCCGCCGTTTACGTCTTCATTCTCGTTCGCTAAGTCGAGGAGAAGATCGGGACGTCCGACGTCGCTCCGGCGGGAGAAGAAGCAGCGAGGTTGGATCTCGTTCTGAGCTTGAAGCCAATCGATTGCTCCGATTTGCTGGTCAATCGGTACCTAATCAAAACCAAACCAAACCGAAATTAAATTTATGGTTTTTTGCAGAAATTGCGCGGGAAAATGTTCGGTTCGTTTTGGGACCCACAAACCCAAATCATGGGAAAATGTACAGTTGACTGGTTAAGTCAACTCTGAACTTGGTCAAAGTTAAATTATTGACTCAAGTGGAGATTATTCTTTTTGACGTCCATCACGTTAATGAATAATTCGGTTATTAGATTAGATTCTGGTAAGACTCGATAAACTAAATAATAACAGTATATTAGAATAGCCATATCTTCTTCTTCTTCTGTCTTGGTCATTTTTAGCCAGAACTTTTTGTGTATGATTAAACAACTAAAATTCTAAAAGCACTGCACTACAGGAATACAGCTGGTGAACCAAAAAAGATTTTATCATAGAAAATGATGTATGTGTAATCAAAATTTAATATATGTGGAAAAAAAATCTAGAAATAGAAGGAGTAGTAAATAGTTATATCATCTCTCTTTTATATATTTTCATTAACAAAATGGTTTGCGTAACCCCACTGAAATGATTCGGATCTTGCTAAAAGAAGCAAAACTTAAATGATTAGGCTTTACGATACGGCAAGGAAACGAATCAGAGAGCGATATCATCCCTAACCAATCCAAATGAACCACGTGTCGTGATCTGATTCTTTCACTAACGTGAAATCTGGTTATCTCTATTTTTTAAAAGAGAGAGGATAGTCTATGTACCTGTAACCGGACAACGCCGGAGGAAAACGGCGGAGGTTGAGATTTGAGCTCGGCAACGGCGGAGATTAGCTTCTCAGTGGCTGCTGTCGGAGACAAAACAGTGGACATAGTCCTCGTCTCAACTGTACCAAGTGGGGTCTTGAAATCTCCTTCGCATCCATTCATAGACATCGAACACGACATAAACTTCTGCAACCATCCAAAAAGGTTTCTCAGTTAATGTGAATTTATGACAGCCTTAAAAAAAGGTTAATGTAATATTACGTTCTTGAAAAAAAAAAAGACAAGAAAAGAAAGAAAGAAAAAAAACCTTGCGGGAGAATAATCTGGTGAATGGAGTTGGAGAGTAGTTATGAGAGATGGAGATGGAGCTGTGTTTTTTAGTGTTTGTGGCCAGAAAACGAGAAGAGAGATGAAGTGAGGCCATTGGAGATTGCTTAGAGAAGGAACAAAAGAGAGATGGTGAGTGGTTTGGTTAAAATATTTGGTTAATTTTTTTTTTTTCTGTTTGGACCAATATACTATATAGTTTTTTTTGTTTTCTCTTTGGTTCAAGTAGATATTTGATGATATGGATTATGGATTCTGGATTCGACTCTGAATAAATAGGCAACGGGCGTAGCTGGGCTCCATTTAAAAATAGAAGAATTCATTTCATTTTCACACTTAAATTTCTCAGAATTGCTAAGTGAACTACTCAGAAATTTTCATTTCTTTTTTTTACGTCAATTGGATTAATCTTTCTTTCCTTCTATCCTTATTTATTCACATAACAATTTAATATTGTTAATCTAAATAAAGAAGGAATCTCGTTTTGGTTGGTCCATTACTTTGAAGTATGGAAGTATAAACTGAATTAGATAAATAAATCATGGTTTAAGTAAAAGTATATATATGAATAAGTAGACAGTCTTGTTAGAGAAGATAAGAAACAGATATATAGATTTATAAAATAATGTAAGATACATAATGATATAGTTGGAGTAGTAGTAATTGATTAAAAGGCTTAAAGCTATAAAATGTAAAATAAATTTAAGAACTCTAAAAGTTTTTTGATGTAAAATTCTACAAAACAAGTATTTTTTTTCGAACTTCCGTTGGACTTGGATCACATGAGCGGAGTCTGTGGAGAGACTTGATGGATATTATATGTGCATGTATTTTCGGTTACCTTTCCAAGGATATACCAAAACAAAGATTAAAAATATATGAAGATACAAATACAATAGGGGTTAGCACGAAGTGAATATCTCGAATTTTAAAAATATCCGTGATTCATTATGTTTCACATAGATAATTGACTTTTTTATTCGAATTGATACATAATCTTTCGGTTATTCAGTATTTCAGATATCTAAAAATCAATGTTTTTACAAAATATTTGATTCAATTCATAAAAATATAAATATTAAAAAAATTACTATAAAATAAAAAATTTCACTACAAAATCTTTTAAAACTAATACTTTAAAAAATAATAATTAAAGAAGTAATTTAGTGAATAAAAATATTATAAAACTTATAAAATTATATAATAAATATAATCTTACATAATGCATATATGAACATTTGTGAGTTATTTGACAGATATTAAATTTTAGTTTAAATTCGTACAAAATACATATATTTGAATTTTTGGGTCAAATTGAAATGGATACCAGATCTAATCGAAATTTAAAGACATTGCCTAAATACAATGGATTGTAATGACAGAGAAAAGGCAATTTGACTGACTGACTGACCGCATGTGATGGATATGATGGTAATAGCTGTACTTAGTTGCACTTGCTCTGTCGTGTTGTAAATTAGGATAGGATTAATGAAACTTTTAATGTAATGCTGAGATATGAAGCAAAATGAAATCAACTGTAAATTAACATATAGATCAACAACAAAAATGAAAGCATAATCAATATGAAAGATCCAGATCAAATTTAATTGACAGACCCGGATCGCTCTGGATAATTGATATAATTAATCAAAAATATGTGGTCGCAGTTAAAATCGACTCCAAATCAGACTAAAGATATTCCAAAAGCATGTCATCTCATTAAAACCGAGTTTTACTTTTTGATCTTAGACTAAATTCTTATGTGCCTTGTTGATCATATTTTAGCTAGATTCAACACGACATGGACACATTTTCTCATATTTTCTTACTCTAACATTAATCTTTAATATTCTTCCAATTTTTATTGATAAAAATATATATTCTTCCAATTTTCTACTTTGATAATGATGAATCCGGTCTTCGACATTATTCCAATCTACAATTATCGACCTTGTTTCGACAACGAAGTTATAAATCCATCTATATTTGTATAAAGTTATATACCCATCTATTAGTTAAGGAGTCAATTCAGTCTAACCATCTTCGTTGCTAGGAAAGTGGCTCTTTGAAAAATCATCAATTAACGTCCCAGCTATAAATTATTAAAACATTTTTAATGAAAAATGAAAACACACTGAAAATACAAATAGAGAGTTGTAGCAATTTCCCCAAATTTTCCCTGAAATAACCAAGATACACATTTTAGTCCAAAGTCCATACGATGATAACGACGGCTCACCAGTCACCAGCTATTCGATAGAACTATTATATTTTTTTCTGTCAAATTGAATCATCCTGGTCAAAACGAATATATTAGTTAGACTATACGTGACTTGACTTTTAAAAGTCAAATGGTTATTTATCATGACTAGCTATTAAAAATTAGCAAGTCTTTCAGATAAGAATATTATGAAAACCATAATTCAACTAACATTGGCTGATGTGAATCTAAGATAAACTGTAACTACACACGGTCCTAGTCCTTCGATATTGAATTATAGTAGTGTTAGGTCATGAAATGTTGGACGAGGTCACTGGTGATCACATTTTATTTCTATTATTTAAGACTTGGAAAAGCTAAACAAGTTTAAGAAATTATGGCTCTGACAATGTTCAAATCACATTGATAAAAATGTCTGAAACTTGTGTTCATCTATCTCATGTACTTGATGCAAACCTTTTTTTGAAAACGTGAAACTTATTTATTATATTCACATTAGTCAAAAGATAACAGAAAAAAAGAGTACAAGAACAAAGGCTAAAGAGTAGAAACAATACTGTAAGACTGAAACCTGAAGTTCAAATGTTCATGCTCCCATTTTAAACATAATAAACTTAACAATTGTTGTTACATAAACAAGCCATTATCATTAATGTAAACAACCATTAATGATAATTCTACATGCTAATTTATTAGGGGTAGTCAGAGCCGACCCTGAGGCATGCTTAGTGAAACATTCGTCTTAGGTCCCCAAAAATTTTGAAGAAAATTACATAAATATAGGCTGCAAAAATTTTTTATAGGCTTTCGAATTTTTTTACATAGAAATCGTTATAAACCCCTAAAATTTATGGACCGGCACTAGGGATAGTACGAGGAAATAAGAGGTTGGCATGAAATTTGTTAGGACATTTGTTTACCAAAAAAAAAAAGAGAGAGAATTGGCGCATTTGTCATCACTTTAGGCGGTAGAAACCAAAAATCTGCTCATGAAATAAAGACAATGCAAAACTGAAGGCCAATAAGAAAAAAAACATTATGGCTATATAGACTGTGTTTTAGAAAGCGTTTTAGATGGTTGTTTAAGCGTTGTAAGGATTATCGGATTACTGTTTAACCGTCTAGAATCATATATTTAGCGTCCACATGGATATTGATTCTATATTTTCATAAACTGATATTGTATTTAATTTTCATAATTAATGTTATATATTTTAAATGTGTTACTCTATAATTATTATGTTCAAAGGATCCAGATTAAATAGAATAATATAGTTATTTTTAGTACAAATATCTGAACTCATTAGTTATTTGGATATTTTTAAATTCATATACATCGGAACTAAATACATACGAATTTGATAGGATTCGACTCGAAACACACCAAAAAAATTACAATACTCGAGAGGGTCTAATTTCAAAACTCAAATAATTTCAAAACTCAAAAAATCGATATAAAAAGAAACAACATATAACTAGAATGATACTCGAATGCTCATGCCTAACTAATTCTATAAACAAGTAAAAAATTCTTTGCTAATCGTTTTGAAATCTTGTTAGAAATGGAGAAATTTCATTTAAACCTTCGAAATTACTATAGTTAACATGTAAATAAATGTTGTCGAATTATTACGGTAAAAATAATTAATGAAATAATTAGAAGGAGTGGGAAAATAAATGTAATAAAACACTTTGACCAAAAAATGTAATAAAAACACTTTAAATATGTAATTTCTGTTTTTCACTTTTGTAATAAATGATGTCTAATTATTAAGATACAATAATAAATGAATTTCTTAGAAAAGAAAATGAAAGTTGTAAGAAACACACTCAAATTTAGGAAAGTATATTTTGTACTTCTGTTTTAATATAATACTAGAACTTGACCCGCACGCTCGTGCGGGTGTTTGATTTTATTTGTGTTCACCGTAAGCTCATAAACTGTTGATTTTATAAAAAAAAAATTATATATATTTTTATTTTTTGTAATTTACATATAGAGTAGAATATATTATTTTATAATATAAATGTTTAATAATAATTTTTATTTGTATAATAGTATATTAGAAAATTTATAACTTGATGCAATTTGATGTAATTGTACTATTTATATATTAATATGTTATTTTTGTTAAATTATTTTAAAATAAAACATCATACTAAAAATTAATTTTTTTGCATTAGTTTTCTATGAATTATCATTAATTTTATGATATTTTTTTCTTAAAAATTAAACTCTCAAAATTTTATATTTGACTATATTAAATAAGGTAATACTATATTTAAAAATTATCTTATATAATATATACTATAGATTTCAGTTTGTGTTTTTATTTCACGACAAAGAAAGAAAGCATATTGTAATTAATTCATTTAAATTGAATTTAAATGCAATGGTAGAATTTATAAATAAAAAAAATAGAAAAGGAAATTATTTAATTTATTATAAATACAATGGCTAAATATCTAAATAAAAGGAAGTACATATCTTTACTATCTATGTTTCCAAACATATCTCACTTATCCTACAATCTTTGTTTCCAAACAATACCAAAATGTACTTCAGTTTTAATAATATAGATATAATATATAATAATATAATAAAATTATATTTGGAAATAATAATAAGCCTTATATGATTATTTTATATATATTACTTGCATAAGATTACCCAATCTAGGTTAGGTTATGTTTGTTTACTTCTATTTTTTTATCAGATTGTGGGACTTATGTTTGGTTGTATTTTGATTTTAATGATTCTGGTTGTATTTTAATTTGAATTTAAGTTTTATTGGATTTTTTTTGGTTCTTTTGGATACTTATTTGTTTGGTAAACTTATTAGGTTCTTTGGTTTTCTTAAAGAACTGTATCGATC